TTACCTTTATGCAATGATTTATAGCCACACAAAATATATTTGCTTCATTTTACACCACAAGTTCAAAAGTCTTCTTTCTTTTCTTAAACTCCGTGCCCAGTCAAATGAGTTTACATAAATTGAAACGGAGGGAGTAACAAGGAGCAATTATTATTCACTCTTTTCTTTCTTTCTGTCATTTTTTCTGGTTTTCTCTATGGCCGCCCTACTAACACTGTTAGAAACCGTCGTATTTTTGGATAACAATTTGTTTGGATTAGGTGAGTACAGACCGAATCAGAAAATCGCCCAAAATCAAAAAGTCAAATCAAACCAATTTAAAAAACCGACTAGGTTTGGTCTGATTGATTTGGTATTGAGTAAAAAACCTGAACCAAACCGATATATAAATATATAATTTTTATATATACTTTTAAGATTTATATAGAATTTTTTTACAAAATTTTTAGAAATATTGGATTCTCTTATGGAATGTAATATTTAATAAAATATGAAGTATTCCATTTTTATTAACCTTAAATAATGGGTTATATGATCACTTTCTTATCAAGTGTTACTGAAATGCGTTAATTTCTTTGTTGTTCCATGTTCATATGTCAAGATTTATTAAATTCTTATATCTTTTTCGAATTTGAGGTGGCATTTTAATAATCTAGAATTAAATAGAACTTATCATTAATTAGATATCATATTTACAGAAGATGTACACCTTATCGAGACCTCAATATCCAAAGGTTGGGTGGAAGGCCTTAATATTGGGTACAACTATACCTCGACATAACTTTATCTTATGGCTAGCACTAAACCATAGACTCACTACCGTGGATAAGCTGCAGCATGGGGGATACAGGTTGATGCTGGATGTGTGTTATGCAAGAGCGGAAAGAATGAAACAATGGCTCACTTATTCTTTGAATGCCAATATTCAAGGAGTATATGGAGTACATTACTTAACTGGATGGGAGAAAGTCGTCAAATTGGTTTATGGGAAGAGTAAGTCTTATGGTTGAGTACAAGAACAAAAAATGGTAGACCTCATAATAGTATTCTGGCCTTTCTGTTTGCAGCACTAATTTACCATACTCGGATAGAAAGGAACATGCGCAGATTTCAGGGGATAGAGATAGATATGAAGAAGAAGATACGGGATATTGTTCTTCAACTACATATCAAAGGACAACAGAAGATAAAATGAAAGAAGCTTTTAGAAAGAGTGAATAGTTTTCCTCTATGGCTAAGTGTAGTAGAGGAACTATTAAGTTTGTAAATGTTTTTTTTCTGGCTATTTTGATGTTTTTTTTAGTCTAACTCTTTAGTCCAAAGGAGTTAGAGGTGCTCTAAATTTTGTTAATGGTTAAATAAAAGTTTTGATATTTGACCCAAAAAAAAAGATACCATATTGATTTTTATATTTAATTATTAAATTCGCTTAACCTTGTAAGTATACATTAACGAAAAATTATTGTCAGATGATTAAAAAAATAATTATCATGTGTTATTGACAAATTCTACCGTAAAAGTATTTTAATAGATCATATGTTGTCAATTTTTTTAATTTTTACTAAACGTATATTTACTTATAAAAATTTTAACAAAGTAAGATTGAAATAATATTCACGTAACAAAAAAATCCGAAAAAACCCGACAAAACCGAACCAATCCAACCCGATATAGTTGGTTTGCTTTGGTTTTAATAAAAATCGGACCAACCCGGCCCATGTACTCCCCTTGTTTGGATGGTTGTTTCGTATTGTATCGTTATTTTAAATATAATATTTATATATAGTATTATATCATTAAATCTATTATTACATAACGATGAAAAGACTCCTTTTACGTAACAAACGATTTGGTGTGATCGCGTTGTTACCTTATTTTTTTCTCATCTTGGTCTTACTCTAATTTTGGACCCGTTTGCCCATAAAGAAAGATGAGAAAACTACCCTCTATAACCCCTCAAAAATTTAATAGTCCATATTTTTGTTCACTGACAGAAAATGGCCCTCCGCCCAAACATATTACATCTAATAGCCCGAAATATCTATTTTGTATATTTTTTGTATAGAGACAGTCTATTTTGTATATTTGTTGTATGGTGACAGTCTATTTTGTATGTTTTTGTATAGTGACAGTCTGTCTTGTATATTTTTTATATAGTGACGGACTATTATATATAAATTGTACACTAACAGTCTATTTTGCATATTTGTGTATAGTGACAGTCTATTTTGTATATATATTTTTATATAGTGACAGTCTATTTAGTACATTTTTTGTATAATGAAAGTTTATTTGTATATATTTTATATAGTGACAGTCTATTTTGTATATATTTTGTGTATTAAAGACTATGCATGAGATATAAAATTAAAGAGAATTGAGACCTAAAGTTAGAAGATATGATCCTATTACCCCGAACCCCTTCATTCTTTTCAAAACAGTGAGCATTAAACACAATTAGTAATTGAAATAATAGTCAGACAACAAATTACCTCATTAAAACTGAAATTAATTCACATGCAAGCATAAATAAAGCAAAACAGAACACTTCATTGATGTAAATACAATCTACTAAGCACATTAATTTCTTCGTTGCACCAATTTAACGTAACTGCACTACTTACGTTAATCCTAAAGCCACATAAACTAAAAACCCACCTAAAAAGTAAAATATGACAGGAAAAAAAAGTCAGATCTAATTAGATGTTAACGAGAGATGTATCGTAATTATTAGGTTCAGAAAAAATGGGTGCAACTGCAATGAGCTTCTTTCTCCGAAGGCAGCAAGGGCAGTGATTCGCAATCTTCAAATTGTAACAAGAAATTAACCCCTCTATGGTTGGTGCTAGGAGGTCTGTTCTGAATTGGGTATTTGCTGGCACATTGCAATTGGAGATTGAGCATCGTTTGGTCTTGATTTAACAGTGATTTTGGAGTTCCTGAGTTATGCCAACGCTCCTGGCTTTAAGCATGTATAATACAACGACATTGAAGATCTCAAATTCCTGCTTCTTATCATAGATTTCATTTTTCTATTTTGGAACTTGAGTTGGAATTGGAGAAGAGCGGTTTTTGGATGAAAGACGGAAGTGTGTAAAGATGGGGTTTGAAATATAAGGAAGGACCGTGTATCCGTGATAGTTGGTTCGGTGGCTAGCCTTTTAACTAGTTTTGGGCTATAAATGCATACTGCAATTTTGTGGCTAGCGACTGATATTAGTTTCTAGCCGCTGGACATAAATGAAGCTTGCTAAAAAAAGATTCCTTTCTCGAAAATTTTGTCATTTTTATTCGAAATCAGAGTTTGGCCATGAAATATTCGATTTTCACTTGAAGATGAATTTCGGAATTTTTCGAAAATTTGAAAAACTCCACGAAGCTATTTTTCAAATTTTTTACTTCATATCACTCACAAAAATTCAAAATCAGCCCAAAATTATTTTCATGTCCAAACACAACTGTAATTTTCAAATACCATTTTCACTTGAAAAAAAAATCATTTTTTTCCAGAATTTTACGGTTGTTATGTCCAAATGCCCACTTATTTTACTCTTCATCCTATCTTTTCAATAATTATTCGACCTCATATTCTAGTTTTTCTTTGTAATATTGTAGGTCTATTCTTCAAATTTTTGGTGTGTGACATTATAAAACGATAAAAAAAGATACAATCTATCTAAACATTCTATAGACTAATACTTGATTTTTTTTGAAAAGGGAGTGTGTGCGAGTTGTTTATTTCAAGAATAGGCTGGACCACCCAGCTGTACCCTTTTCCGTTATAACTAGGAAAGAGAGGTGCATGATCTCGCGAATTACTTCTGAATAAATTCAGAAATTATATGTAAGAACCATAGCATTTCGCGATTCATTGATAAATTGATTTTGATTCTCTATTAACCAATAATGTGGAACTATTAACATGGTTAAAACAAACTGTTTGAAGTCTAGACACAGCATGGTACTCTTTCTACCACTATGTTAATAATAGAGTAAGATACGATATAATAAGAAACGTAACAACCAAAAAAATCTTCTCTTTTTTTTTAAGAAAGAAATCAGTTGGTAGTTGGGAGTAGGGGTGTTCATGGTTCGGTTTGGATCGGTTTTTCCCTAAAAAGCAACCAAACCAAGTAAGTCAGTTTTTCAAATATTAGAACCAAACCAAACCAATTAAGTCGGTTTTTCTCGATTCGGTTTATGTCGGTTTTTCGGTTTTTTCGGTTATTTATCGGTTTTTTCTTAAATATAAGACATACACTACCAAACACATATTCCGGCGACCACACTTTCAATGTAACACTATCAAATCAATTGTCCTTTGAGAAATCTATTATTTACCAAGATATATTGATGATAATTGAATCAAATAGTGATGAATAATTTAAGGACTCAATTAAAAATATGTTATTTTTAACACGAAATGGATTCTTACACTAAACAAAAGAAAACTACCAATCGAACTAGAATGTCAAGGTAAAGAACTATATTAAAAGTGCAAACTATTAACATTTACCATAAACTTTTTGAAACTTTGTATAACAATATACATATTTATAGGTGTAATAATAAATTTGAAATAGCTACTCCTATAGTTTGGTTCGGTTTTTTTTCTGATTAAAACCAAAACCAAACCAAATTTGATGGGTTTTTAAAATTCAAAACCAAAACCAAACCAAACCAAAAAGTATCGGTTTTTTTGATCGATTTGGTTTGGTTTTCGGTTTGGTTCGGTTTTTCGGGTTTTTATGAACACCCCTAGTTGGGAGCTTTCATTCTTCATTCATAGAATTCCAATATCCTTCGGACACTTAAAATTGGCATTTATGACCAAACAACTTATGAAACAGATTTAAAAAGAAAAGGCGCGTTATTCAATGAAGAAAAGGATAGGAAAAAGAGTGAGACATCCTTTTTGTTTGTTTGTTTTGCTTTAGGTATTAAAGCGACGAGACTTGCGGAATAATAAGACATGTAATAAAGAATAGGAAGATTTCGTGTGCGGCATTTGAATTGTTGCAACTAAGTGATGCTGTAATAAAATAAATGCGGTGTATTCTACAAAATAAGATTGATAGTTCTTGCCTGAGGTCCATAATCAGTAGCTGGAAATTACCTCGTAAAAAGTTTACTCTCACACACAAATTAAAAAGGATGGCTTGAGTTTGTGGTTGGCAAAATTAAGCAGAAAAAACAGCCTCAACAAGAACATGTTTTTTCCTAGGGTATCCCAAACCAATCATATGGTTAAGATAAACAGTCCCTTCCTTCACAGTTGCTGCTGTAGTTAAACGATGAATAGCCCCTTTGGCCTTCCCCACAATACTACAACTCTCCCAATCATCAGAACTCTCAACTAACCTCGTTGGATTTCCAGCAACGACTAGCTTTGTCGAAGACAACAGTTCTATGCCATCACCAAATTTCAATGATCCACCATTTATCTTCACTAGCTTTACTTCGTCATGCTTTGCTATTTCAATCTTGTACAAATTGCCCGAGAATGTATGAGCCACCAGTAAGTATCCATTTGGATGATAAACTATTCCATTTAGTCCAACTAGCTTATTGTACCACTCTTTAGGAGTAAATATGGGGTTCTTGATTGTATATTTAAGTTCTCCATTCACGCCCACCTTCCATATCTTATTTGCTTTGGCATCTGTAATGTATGCATTTCCCTCTGTATCGACCACCACATCATCCGCAAATGCTTTCTCATCCTCTGCAGGTTTGGTTATAGCATCAGTACAGTAGAAAGAAAACTCAAATTAAAGGTGGACCTAGGATGAGTTCAACTGAACCAATTGTTTTAGGCTTGAACTATGTATGCATATGCAAAACAATAAAATGTACTATTTTGTACTTGGTGACTCAATCTTGAATTTACCTCTGTAAGAAATGATGTTACATGAGCATATCTTGAAAATTAAATGAAGTACTTGAACACTAAGACCTGGATACGTGGAAACAATCATTTGACTAACAATTGCGAAGAGATGCCAGCTTTCAGTGCCTAGTTAGTTTATTGTTAACCATTTTTATTGTCCTAGCTCACTTCCAGTGATATCTAAGTCTACTTACGATTTTAAAATCTTAAACATCTGCTTATGGCTGAGGCTGAACAGTTGGCCAAAATGAAACTCGCAAAGCTGTACAAGAACAGATAAGAATACACAAATCACTACAGGTCATTAAGTGGTACAAACTATGTTAAAACTCCAACACTCAAAACTCAAGGGGATTAGCTGTCTCAACAGGGCATATTCTCTGTTTTATCACATGCAAACACAAAGCTGCACTACGTCTGAAGTTTCTATTTCTTCTTTTCCTGGAAGAATATTACTAGAATTTTAATAGGGTAAAACTTTGAATAATATAACAGAAACAAAGTTCTCTAATACAAAAGATATTGTTAAATAAGCTTCTTGTTTTTGTACCTTCGGGGACATCCCATAAAATATGAATGTTTCTTTAACAATTGAACTTTCAAATAATGAGGGGCCATCAGCCGTACAACTAGAAAGAAGTTCCACAATGCAATTAAAGAAAGAAAGGCCCACTTTTGAAGCTTTTAAGGCAAAGATTAAAACATTAAGAGTGAATTTGGAGAAAAAAATAGCAACAAATGTTTCTTATTTTTCTAAAATTCAAATATTGGAACAAATATAATTATTTTTCCTAAACGACTAATATTTCAAACAAGAGAAATAATTTACGGTAACCAACAAGGGTTGTGGTGGAGTGGTAAGTACTCCTTCATCCTTAACCAGAGATCTCGGGTTCGAATGCCTGAGTATGGAGTCGCCTTTGTTAGGATCTTTACCCCAATGTGGGACTTCCCGGCCTCAAATGGGATTTTGTCGGGCCCCAATGTATGGGTACCGGATATCGGATACCAGATGGAAAACAAAAAAAAGAAGAAAGAATTACGCTTTTAATCACTTGGCACAGCAACCCAACTAAAAATGACCCATGTTTGAAGCTTTTACCCGGTTTGGCCCAAGTTGTATATATCTTGAAAGAAACTTTTCAATCTTTAGCCCATTATTAAAGACATACTTCTAGGGTTTTTTTCTTTTCTTCTTTATTCTTTCCCAGCATACTCAATTTCTCTTCACTCGCCTCTCTCTTCCTTCTCCCTAAAAATTACAGAATTTTTTTGTACACACTCGTGATAATCTTCCCATTCTATGTTAATTAGATTTAGATTTTTGAGTTAATTGACAAAAAAAGGTTAAGGAACCTCAATAAAATTTGGCATATCAGTCCAAATCAGATCTTGCCTAAAAGAGCATCTCCGGCGACCTCGTCTCATATTTTCTTATTTCTCTTAGTTTTTGTTTCATCCTTTGCTACTGGTGAAGCCCAGATTTAATGCCAAAACCTCGCCGGAAAAATTCAACACCAGCAACCACCGAAAACTGTAATGTGGTGATGGACAGAAGGTGTTTTCTGGTGTAAACTTGTATAGGTAGTGTTTATACAAACTTATACAATATTGTATAAATATGTATAAGTATGTATATATGCGTACAATGTTGTATAAATTAGATATATTTTTAATGTATAAATGTGTATATACATTGTACGTGTATAGTAGGCTCCATGGATGTTTGACACTTTCTTCTTTTCTTCTTCTTTGTCTTATTTTTCTGATATACATTATTAGAGATTGTATATACAAGTTTATACAAAGTTATACATCATTATACATGTAATGCACATGTGTAGTTAAATCTAAAATTAAGATTTTATATGTTCAATCTATGTATAAATCGACTTTTCTTGTTGATTTATTGGCAAAATCATGAACGTGCAATAATTTTTTCAATTTTTATTTTTTATTTATGCTATTTGGAAGTTGGAAAAAAAAAAAGAAAACTTAAGGTTTTCAAGTTGCATTATATGTGAATTTGAATTTTTTGTAGCTGGAATAGGAATATATACAAACTTGGGGAAGAAGAACAAAAAATTATTGAATTTTCGTGCTTGAAGATCTGCAGAATGAAAAAAGAAAGAAAAAAATGCTTATTTTTCAAACGTTGGCCTATTGTTAATGGGCTACAGATTTGCAAAGTTGTAACTCGGTTATTCTGCTGCAATGTATGTAGGTGAACTGTATTTTTGTGTAATTCTCCCAATAATTTAAGGTTAAAGATAATGTCCACATGGGCAGGGTTGACTTGTGGTAAAAATAACTTTTGGAAATAGAAGTACCAAGTCTTAAGTGCTTTCCTACCCACCGAAAATTAAGATATTAATTACGGAAGAAATCTTGTGCCTTTATTAGCCGAACAAAGTGGAGTCACAACTGAAAACACATCAACGAATTAGGCCGTAAGTGCTTTCTTACTGGCGTTTAGAAAATATTGGTAAAGGAAGAAGTAGAAGTAGTTAAGGTCCCATTTTTTTTTTTTTTTTTTAAGATTAAGACGTCTGAATTTGAATACACATCTAAATATATTAAGATGTGTATTAAGATTTGAATACTAAAAATTAAGACTATTTGATTTTTAATATCTGAATGTACAAAATTTATCTTTATTTGAAAAATAATAAACATAAAATTTAAATGAAATACTAACTAATCTAATATTCTATCAATAAAATATATAGTTTTTAAAATATGATAGTTGTTGGTGGTGATGGCTAACGGGTGAACGCCGACTAGATGCGGTGGTTGGTGGTAGTTTTGGGTGATGATGGTGGTTCATGCTAGTAGCTAGTAGTGATTGGAAATGGTGGCGATTATGATTTAGGATGGTGGTGGTGGGTGGTGAAAGTTAATAATAGCGGGTTGTGGTTTGTGATTGAGGAAGGTGAAGGTAGGTTATAATGATAGGCGGTGCTGGCTGTGGTTGTTGATGGTAATGGGTGGTTAGTTGTGGTAGTTGAGGTGGATAAGTGTTGATTGTGGGTGAGAATGATGGTGGTCGGAGTGGTGAGGATGGTAGGTGGTGATGGTCGATAATGGTGGCGGCTATGATTGAGGATGATGGTGGCGTGGTGGTGGTGGTGGTGGTTGAGTATGGTGGGCGGTGGTGGCATGGTGATAGTTGATAATGGTAGGCGGTGGCGGCGGTTAATAGTGAATATGCGATAGCATCTTAATGAAATTAGCCTCTGTTATAGATTTTAATCATACAGACCTATTCAGACCCATTGAGTGGTTGTGAAGTAAAAAAAACAAACACACTTAATGATTAAGATCTGAATAAATTTAGATTCAGACTTTAAAAATAAATGCACTTAATATCTGAGATCCGAATGATTAAGATTCAAACCTCCATTAAGTGCAAACAAATGAGGCCTTAGTGTGTCTTAATTAGCAAAGAAAATGGTCTATACATAAACCCAAATACACACCAATATTTTCAAATGTTTCCTGCTTATTCATTCACAGCATAGTACAACAATTTGGCTAATAATACTAATTTTCAAAAATGATTTTCCACAAAAATAATTATGTCTCCAACAACACATAAATACGTAATTTTGTGCTATTTTATATAGTATAAATGTATAATTACCATTTAAGAAGTCAACTATTTTCTTCGACTATAACTTCTTTTAATTATATTTGAATGTATAGTAGTACTTTTTAAAATATTTCTAATTATAAGTTTTATAAAAAAAATAGGTCTCCAAGCTACACTTCGTTATACAAGGAGAATAATATTTTTTTTTGATATACTCCCTCTGTTTACTTTACTTTGCATGTATACTAAAAATAGATTTTCATTTCTACTTGCTATTTTATACCCACAGTATTTATTTCTCATTTCAAATTATTTTTTCAAATCCAATAAAATATATATCAATTAATATGGGTATTATGATAAATTATGCACTTCATTTATTATTTCTTAAGGGCTGAAAAGTAAAAATGAACGAAGGAAGTATATAGATTCGCGCCGTCGAGTGATGGGTCATCTGCCGTTATTTCTTTTCCTTTTTTTAATAGTGACAAAAGCATAGGCCAAATACAATCTCAAGAATCTCGAGGCAAAATGTCGCCAACAGAGCTAAATGATTGTAGAAAAGATGCAAATCAAAAACAAAAACTATGGAATTACAAACTATTTTTACTATACCAATTTGTTCTCGTGAGCTCTATTTTTATTTGAGGTTTTAAACTTCGTTACGTTTGCCAGAAAAAAAAGTCGCCATCCCATCTTAACAGATCATTTCTTCGTTCCTTTCTAATATATGACACTTTCAAAATACTAATTGTCACAGGTTTAATCAAAATGATTAGGTTTATTATATTAAGAGAAATCTTAATATGTTGAAATAATTATTTGCCCAAAAATACAACAAGACGGAGTATTAAACCTGACTATATTTGGCGTGCGGCAATTATTAATTATGAAAAGAACACAGAGTACTATAAATAATTAATGTAACAGGGGGACTACCTGGCCCACTAAGTTTGGTGAGAAAAATCCGGTTCCACGACGTCAAATCATAGGCAGCCAAAGCGCTATAGCGATTGCCAAATACATTAGCTACAGCAACCAGAACCCGGTTCCTTTCCCGGTCTATAGCTAAACCGAGCGACGCATTGCCGGTCAAGTCAACGTCCTTCACGACCGGAATTTCCTGTAACACGTTACCCGGAGAGTAGTCGGCATCGACCGGAATCACACCTAAACCACCTTCAAAGAAGCTGACAATGAACCGGCGGTTTAAATCGTCCCATTTGGCACACTCACGTAACCAGCCGGTGCTGTGGTAATGATAGACGTGGGTTGCGGGGGCGGAATTTTCGAGGTGGATGATGAAAGCAGTAGGAATTGCTGATACGAAAAAGAGGAGTAGAAAGAATTTGGTTGAACAGAAGAAAGAAGCCATGTTAAGAGTGTTTTTTTAGTGGAGAAGAGAAAAAGACGGTATTTTGAGTGTCGTTTATAAGGTGAGTGTGCGTACAAAGGTAGGTGACGATTAGAAAGAATATAAAGGGATACCGATGAGAAATGGGACGAGAGAAAGGCCAAGATTCAACATGGGGCCGGTTGGCTTTCTTGTGATTTGGGTTTAAATTCAAGATATAGGGGGTGAAATTTAAAAATAGCCAGATTTACAAGTGATCGTTCAAAAATAGCCCAGTTTCAAAAGTAATCGAAATTTAGTCACTTTTCATGTAAAGATAAATCTGAGCGAAAACACTGTTCAAAACCCGAAAAATATGCCAATATATTATGCTGGAGTTCCAGCATATTATACTGGAGTTCCAAGATAAGTATGCTGGAACTCAAGCATAATATGATAGAGTTCCAGCATAAGTATACTAGAACTCCAGCATAATATATTGGAGTTCCAGCAAGTATACAAGTCCAGTATAATATGCTGGAAATTCATATACGAGTGCTCGAATCTCCGGTATATTATGCTGGAACTTTCCGTGTGTTGGAGTTCCAGCATAATATGCTGGAAGTTCATACACAGGTGCACCGAACTCCAGTATATTATGCTGGACCGGTCTCTATTGCAGCAAAATAGTGGCTATTTTTTATTGACTTGATAAACGCTGGCTATTTTCGAATGACCAGTCCGAAAACTGGCTAGACTGTACTATTTTTACAGATATAGGTGGTGTTTGTTTCATAAACATTTAAACAAAATTAACCAAAATAATAGCCTGTTTGGCCAAGCTTCTCAAGAGGCCAAAAGTGCTACTCCCTTCGTTCCAGTTTATGTGAACATATTTCCTTTTTGGTCTGTTCCAAAAAGAATGACCCCTTTCTAAATTTGGAAACAATTTAGCTTAAACTTACACTTCTACCCTTAATGAGAAGCTTTTTGTCACGACCCCAGTTCGCCCTCCGTGAACTATCGTGACGGCACCTAGTCTCTACGACTAAGTAAGCCTAACAAATGCGGAAAACAACAAATCTTACGGAAATAAATAATCAAAAGCCGAATAACTGAAGGAAACAGTATTTAAATGCTGCTTGGCATGTAACACAACTTTCCAAAATCTGATACACTATCGCAAAACCCGGAAACTCACGGATCCACAAGCTGAGAGAAACACTACATAGCTCTAATCTCTGGAATGTCTAATCAAGAACATAAAGTACAGAAGGCTAAATACTAGATGCAGGAATAGAAAGAGACTCCTCGGACTGCGGACGCGGCAGATATACCTCGAAGTCCCGTAGAATCGCCTCGCCTCAAGAATGGTAAGCCTGAGTAGAGATACCTGGATCTGCACATGAAAAACATGCGCAGGAAGGGCATGAGTACACCACAGCGGTACTCAGTAAGTGCCAAGCCTAACCTCGGTTGGGTAGTGACGAGGAAG